ATGTCTAGGTGATATGCAGCCAGGAGGCATCTGAGCCTTAGATGAGGACATGTTCCAGGTCACCACACTTTGGAGGGAAAAATACAAGAAAATCTGAGGAGATCAAACACCAGAGTTTGCCCATAATGSCCTTCAGGAGAGAGCTGCAATCTCCCAAATACTCTAGGGCAGTTACTGAAAAACAGATACCTGCAGGTTCCCCGATAAGCCAGAGGGAAGATTGGGGTGTTGTCTGTCTCATCAGAGGCTCACATAGGAATTCCCTAAAGGATTTCGGTAGCAGCAACACTGTAGATCCCACTCACTGGAAAGGCACTCAGAAGACTATGAGATAATGGCCTTTAGTTATCTCCTTGGGGCTTCATTTACCACATATAAACTGGGGACAGAACAGTTCTGCTTCACGGTAAACAGATTAGATGAGTGAATGCATGCAGAGGGCTTTGTACAGCGCGTGGGAAATAAGAACTGCTGCTTATTGAGTGATAATAAACTAAAGRACTTGGTGAAATAAGCACTGAGTTCAAGGCCATCAGAACCAGATATGATTGAAGCAAGGTCAAGAGCAAAGACACTGAAATATGAAATTGACATAAAAAAGTATGATCAGAGTAAAGAATTGTCCAGAGTAATTAAAAAATTAATAGAAAAAGCTAGTTACTGTGGGACAGAAATACCATGGTTTATACTTAAAATTCATATTCTTAATCTATGCCAAACACCATTCTAAATGCAAGTACTAATGCATTTCATTATGAMAATACCCTTAGAAAATATGTGTAACCACCATTTCCATTCTAGACAAGAAGAAAAGGCACAGAGGACATAGATAACTTGCTTAAACAATGCATTTGGTAAAGGTAGAGCTCGGATGCACACCCAGCTGTCTAGCTACAGGGTCCCTGCCCTTAGCCACCCTAGTAGTCTGAATCTCCCCCATGGCTACTCTTTCACAGTCTTATCCTTATAGGGAAGGGAGAGAAACACAGTCCTGAGATGCAACAATTGATCAATACCTGCAGACGACGTTCCTGCTCCAACTGTTGCTGTGCCAGACACTTTGCTCTTTCTATCTCTATTTGTCTTAGTTGCTGCTGATGGAGTCTCTCCTTCTCTTCCATCATTTGCCGCATATGCCTACGAATCTCCTCCACACTTTCTGCTTCAGCCTTGGCAGCCTCTGCTTTTGCACGTGCCTCTGAAGAGAAAGAAAAAAATAGATAAACCTTCTAGGACAGCTCTGTCCCTCCCTTGGGCCTCCTGTTCTCATTCATTATTGTTCTAACCTATCAAGAAAATTCCCTGCCATTGTTTTTCCTTCCAGATAACCATCTGCAGCTGATCCTGCCATATTCAGATACCACCTGAGGTGATAAGAAGCTTCTTTGTMTGTCTTGCTTCAGGTGAATAATCTCAGCTAGGCCAGGACACATGAATTTCAAATTTCTGGACATTTCTTGTCTTTTTTGCATTACTTCTGTTCTCTTCTCACCTTCCATCTCCTTTTCCTTGGCTGTGAGAGCCTGGTCTGTCTGTAGAACAGCTTTACTCACAGACTCTTTGGACTTTAAATACTTTTGCAGAGCTTCCTCAGCCTAGGAACCCCAAAAACATGCAGTTAGAACCTGGAAATGGTGATTGGCAATATGATAAAATCATGATTCCTTTTCCATCAAACATCTTTTCCTCTTAGAAGGCGTTCTGCCTGCACCTGATGGAGATGTCCATCAAGCCTCTCCACAGGTGGGGTCTCAAACCTGGCTGAGCCAATCAGAGCACCCAAGGCCACTTGCTCACAGGAGGAAAAATACTATGACTTGAATGTTGTAAAGGCTGATATGGGTGCTGGCAAAGACACCTGCTCTGTCACCAGGGCTATAAAGATAGGTTGGACTTAGACCCAGCGGTATCTCTTTGTAGCCATGTGGGGTGAGTTTACTTGAAAATGAAGCCAATAGTCAGGAGAATGGAGCACACTAATGAAGTAGGATTTGGAAAGAAAAAAGGAAGCAGACAACCGCTGATGCTATTTGAACATTGGAATGTGACCATCATTTCATAGTCTAGTTGGAATTTCTTTCTTAAACACGTGAAACTAAATACCAGGCACATAATTCCCAGGCATGCTCAGTGACAGAGTAAGTCTGAGCCAGATGAGACATCAATCTCATCTCTGTTCCTGTACACATGTCCTTTCTTCTGTTCTCAATGGTTTTTGTTAAAGAGGGGCCCCAGGATTTATCATAATTAATAGATAAAACCAGGAATACCTGTATTCCTTTCCTGAATTGCTTGTGGTACTTTGTCTTCAGCTTCTCTGTCTTCTGAAGGTAGAGGTTATGGCCTCCTGGTTTAGAATAAAGCCCCTGTTTCACCACTTCTTCCAGAGGACCAAAAATATCCTGAAGAAAGCTGAGCAATGATCTGAAGAGGCTTCTTCATTTGCWTACAAATGTCTTTCTGCTTTGCATCTAATAGGGTCTTCAAAGGGACAGGAACCCTCAGAGATATTAGCCACACCTCAGTATTTATGGAATTTATCTTAAAGCAAATCTCTATTTTTTTTTTGTTTAAGAAACTTCAAGGAATATAAGCAAGACTGTGCCCTTTCTGAAAAAGTTTCAAGGATTTGAGAGTCTATGAAAAATGACATTTAGCTGGGCACAGTGGCACATGCCTGTGTGCCAGTGGCTTMGGAGGCTGAGGCAGGAGGTTCGGGAGTTCAAAGCCAGCCTCATCAAAAGCGAGACACTAAGCAACTCAATGARACCCTGTCTCTAAATAAAACACAAAATAGGGCTGGGGATGTGGCTCAGTGGTGAAGTGCCCCTGAGTTCAATTCCCAGTACCCACCCATCCCCACCCCCCAAAAAAAAAGAAAAAAGAAAAATTACATTTACTTTCGGGTGTGAAATTTTCTGAAAACCCTCTATTTCAATTTCTGCTTTAGAGGTGATCTTTTGACCATAGACCTCTAACCTCAAGCTCTCATTTTAAATGCAGCCTACTTTTCCATCATTTCTGACTTCAGTGTTTTCCACCCTCAAGGAGAAGGTAGAAGTGAATAATTAGCTGGAATGATGTAGGTGACTAAATTAATCCTGGATACATTATACTTTAGTTGATCCAAAGGGAAATTCTTTCTGCTTTATTAATAAAAAAGGACTTTGTAAATATAATGATATAAAGGGATGTACTCAATACTTTGTAAATGCAATGTGTTTAATATTTTGTAAATACAATGTTTTAAAGGAATTAAATCAATTCAAATTAGCCAATTGGTGTAACATGGGAAAGGTTGTGTGCACATTTGAAAATTTCAGATGCTAAAAGTCCAGAGTACTTTTATACATTTGTTTGTTTTCAGAATGAGAGTGATAATGTGGCCACATAAGTGACCATCATTTTATAGTCCAATAGGAATTGCTTTTCTTAAACAGGTTTTATTATACCTTTCAGAGCAAAGCTTTCTTTTCTATTAATCCTAATGCCCATGAACTAGAAAAACAGTTACCTATAATTGCTTCTGGAAACTYTGGTCCTCATCCTTGAAACAGTTCTTTKTGAAGATTTCTATGGCCTCTCTCTCAYTGGCCCTGTGCAGGTCCAGCAGCTCCTGGAGGGTATCTGTGGGCAGCTGCACCTTCTGGCCCATCAGCCTGTCATAGTGGGCAAGAAACTTTTTTATTGCAGCTGCATTCTCTGTCTGGGCAGGGCCAGGACTGTGTTCTCAATGAAGGGCAAATCCCCACTGATAGTGTTGATGTAGGTCATCACCAAGTTCTCTAGACCTTTACCAAGGAAAAGATGCTTGTGTTATTAGAGATATACTTTATTATCTATGCCATTTAATTCTGAGAACAGCCAGTTGCAGTGGTGCACASCTGTAATCCCAGGGGCTTGGGAGGTTGAGGTAGGAGGATTGAGTTAAAAGTCAACCTCAGCAATATAGTAAGGCCYTGAGCAACTCAGCAAGACCCTGTCTCAATGTATTTTTTATAAAAATATAAAAAAGGGCTGGGGATGTRGCTSAGTGGTTCAGTACCTATGGGTTCAAGCCYGAGTACCAAAAAGAAAATACAAAAATTTAAGAACATTCATTTAACAATATACTACCCCCAATTTTTCAGCATTCTAAACAGTATCCAAGTAGTCTAGATAAATTCCTTTGGCAAATTAAGAGAGTAAGAAGTCGAATGTTTCCTTCTTTGGGAAAAGAAGCAGGGTTCAAAGAAAATAGGAAAAAAATGTCAAAATGTAGCTCACAGCTCATGGTCCACCTTTACTCCTTCTCTGGAGAAGTAAAAAGTCATGCACATTCATTTGATTGGAATGCTACATGGTTTCGCCTCTTTAACCTCCTTTTCTTTCCTTCTTCCTCAGTTATCCATGTTCTTCAAAACTCTTTCACTTTTCACAGATAAACCAGTATGGGAGATACCATCCTCTGAAAAAGGGCTGATTGAGCAATTTAGAACAGGTTTCCCTTATKCTTTGTTGGAACTTCCCTGTTTTACTTCTTGGCCATTTACATTCTACTTCCCTCTAWAATATAGCAGTTGTTTACAAAGTTCTGAAAGAGATGTTAGGAAACCTAGARCCAGAAGTGTGCTTAGATATCTTTAGAGGTTCTAGACTATTTGGGCCTTAGTCCCATATTTGTATTGTATTTAGATTAGAAAAATGTGGAAACTTCCAATTATAATTTATACCAATTAGCTCCAAAAACAAGTTATATAAACCAAATCTACACACAGATATTGTGG